CGAATAGATGTTGCATCCCTTTGCATTTTCTTTCGCATTTACCACGGGGAGTGCTCTGAGAAATCGTTCGGATTACTCCCAGCCGCAAAATTTCACGAACGCACATCGCGGCAAAACTCCAGATACCATCCACACCATCTGGATGCTTGGCGGTCCACGACTGTGCGTTTTATTAGGAGTTTTCTTCGACGTTCAACTTCTCTGTGGAATTGTTTACCACCGGCGATTTTTCCCGGACCGATACACTTAGGGACCTTCAAGAAAAGAGCTTACACCTTTCTAATAGGTCGGCAGAGCATCTGCAATTCCCCTGGTGTTGCGGTTGTTTATGGGCGGCAGTAGTCACTTACCATTAGGTAAGCCGCAAGCTCGTTTGCCCCCTCTTCTATAAATAAAAGTATTTTGGTTTCAAAACTACCTTTAAATTGTCAAGAACTCGGACGTGCCTACGGGTCACAAACTTGGTCGATACCAGTCGATACTGATGTCGTGATTCGTATTTCTAAGCGTTACTTCATATGCTAGGTACAGCAGGTATGTGTTGCACGCGTTTATTGCACTGTATGCAGAATCTATTAAACAGGGGGTAATGCCAAATAAACGTGCACTGGACATTGTCATTAGAGGTTTGCACTGGAGCGGAATTTTGACCACCGATTGAATTCACCGGTTATTGGCAATCTCCGGTGATTCGCCGGTGATCACCGGAGAGTAAAGAGCTACTTGCTCAAATAACTCGACAGCACAATTCCCTAGGAAACAGATGTACCTCGTACGTTGTAATAGATTATATTATGATGTAAACAAACACTCTTTTTCATTCATTCAAAATTTTATTACATACATATGTTTTACAGAGATAATAAATGCTGATTTTGATTGAGAAAACACAACATGTCAATAGCATCATGGCGCAACATATTTCTTATGTTATTGAGTACGTACTTTTGTTATAGAGTATTTTCAACGACAGATCACATGATCTGTCGTTGAAAATACTCTCTCTGATCGAACTGAAGTTGCAGTCAGTGCTAGGTATTTAAAGGCTATTTCGTCCAAAGGTTTTAAATGTCTATTATATTTCCAAAATTGCATCACATCATCCCTGTCATGACTTTTTTCTGGAAATTGTGTTTCTTATACAGAAACACAATTTCCAGAAAAAAGTCATGACATTTTTAATAAATTTATTGACGTAGCTGACGTCATATCTGCATTATTGGTATTCCTTTTTAGAAATCCTAGCAAATCCAGGCGACCTATTTCGCTTGTAAATAACTCACTTAAAGTGATTTCTTCTGTGCTTTGAAGTATGTTTCTGACCTGGATAATGTTGTTAATTTCTGCCTTTACAGTTTCTTTAGCAGCCAATTTATTATTCAATTGTCTAAAGCTATTCCTGAAAACGGGATGCAGAATGGTGGAAATTTGGCAAACAGTTGGAGATTCGTAATCCAATAAGCGATTCTTCATACTTTTTTTTAGTGTTTGCAAAATTATTTCTCAAACCACTGTAGAGATTCTGGAGCCCGAACTTTGAATATTATTGAACAACCCATAAATAATACTTATTATTAAACTAGATGTTGGGTATTGGTCTACTCTTATCATTTGAATGGCTTGCTCAAATTCGTCTAGCAAAAGTACCATATCCTTTAATATTTTTTCTTCTTCTGGTCTATAAATATGAGGTGCTTGGGGCAGTTTTCTTTGTGCGGCAGTTATACTGTCAATTAATTTTCAAATTTTTTAAGATGGAAACTCAAGGTAAGTTCAACTAGTTTACGATTTTAATTTCATCAGTGTATAGTTTTCATACGTATGATACAATCCACCTTTTAAAAATTTAATTACTTTTTTTTATTTGGATCTATTTGAAGAATGCGCAAAGGATGACTCCATTTTCAGATGAAGAACAAGAGGGTAGGTGTCCTACAAATATTACAAAAATGCAATAAACATTACTTGTAACAAAAAATTAAACAGGAACACAAACTGAAAATGAAGAAAATGTTCATGCACATTGTAACGAACTCTTTAGGAAGCTAGTAGCTAGTGAAATGAATCACATAAACAGACAAGAACGCCTTGAGTTAATGACCGAAATAATTATTCTCATTCGAAAGAAGCAAATTAGTGAGTAGATGTAATAAATGTAGTTAAATAATTATATATATTTAATTATAATAATTAATTTATTAATTATTTTATTAATTAATAATTAATTTATTAATATTAAACATTGTTTTAATAATATAAATATATTATATTATTAAAACAATGTTTGACCACAAAAAGATCCATTTGTATACAAGAGATGAGGGTGAGTCTAGAAGTATGATTGATTTTGTAATTGTGGATGAAAGACTGAGGAAGAAAGTGCTAGACACTCGGGCATACCGCGGTGTAGGCCTCGACACAGACCACTTCCTGGTCATAGCCCGAATGCGTGGCCTCTTTAAACGGTGGCGACACCGAGTGGCCGAGCCTACGAGTGTTTTGGACAGAGTAAAAGTGGAAAATCTACAAGAAGAAGAAAAGAAAGACGAGTATGTAGAGAAACTGAAAGAAAGTTTTAAAGGGATAGAAGAGATAGGAGTGATTGAAGATTTGTGGGAGACATTTAAGAAAGGGGTCGTAAATGTTGCTATCGAGGTATGCGGGGTAGCTAAAAGAAGGAAAGGAAGAAAGAATGATAACGTGTGGATGGATAAAGATGTACAAAAGGTTGTGCAAGAAAAGAAGAAAGCGTGGTTGGATTGGTTAGCAACAAAAGCTAACCAAAAAGTTCAAAAGGCAACGGATGACGAGATAAAGGAAGCAAGAACGAAGTATAAAAGATTGAAAACAGCAGCGAAAGAAATTGTGTCTAGAAAGAAAGAAGAACGAAAGGATGATTTCGATAGGCTCACTGAAGATTTCCAGTCAAACATTTAGTTTTTCTGGAAAACCATCAAAACAGCCAGAGGAAAAACTTCTACCTCTGAGCTGAGTACAATCAGGAGTCAAGATGGGAGCATTATAAAAGGAGAAGAATGTGTGTTAAAGAGATGGAAAGAGTATTTTGAAAGTTTGTTTGAAAGAGAGGAAGTGCAGGTACAGCATCTGCCACCTTCCACGGAAACTAATATAAATGTAATGAAAATGAGATAAGCATGGATGAAATAGTGAAAGCGTTGAAAAGTATGAGATTAGGTAAGGCTGCAGGGTATGACAGGATTACCGTCGAGATGCTGAGGGCTGCACAGGGCCTGGTTGCTAGTCAGCTGTACCGCCTTTTCAATCTGTGCTGGCGAAATGGGCAAGTACCGGGAGACTGGTGCAAAGCCGTAATCGTGCCATTGTATAAGGGAAAAGGGTCACGGCAGGACTGCATAAATTACCGCGGTATAAGCCTTCTCAGCGTCGTCGGTAAATTGTATGCGAAAGTGTTGATTGAAAGGATTGTGAATGAAACAGACAAGAAAGTATGGGATGCACAAGCGGGATTTAGAAAGGGAATGGGATGTACGGATCAGGTCTTTTCCTTGCGGTGCATAGCCGAAAAGTATTTGGCTAAAAACAAGAGAGTCTACTGCGCGTTCGTAGATCTAGAAAAGGCCTATGATAGAGTGGTGAGGAATGAATTGTGGTCAGCACTGTCCGTGAACGGTGTGAGCAGTATCCTCATACGAGCAATGCAATCTCTTTATAGGGATTCTAGTGCTTGTGTAAGGATAAACGGGGCATACACTGAATGGTTTAATATCGAAAAAGGTGTTAGACAGGGATGTGTAGCGTCACCGTGGCTGTTTAATCTGTTCATGGACAATTGTTTGACAGATTTAAAAGAGAATGAAAGTGGGTTGAGAATGAATGAGTTACTCGTCAAATGTTTTCTCTATGCTGATGACCAAGTATTACTTGCGTCTTCGGCCGAGGAGTTGCAGGAGATGGTAACTGCTATGAGTGGAGCTTTTGTTAGAAAGGGAATGAAGATGAATGTAAGGAAGACGAAAGTGATGGTGTTTGAAAAAGATGAGGCAGTGACAGACTGCAATATCGTGATTGAAGATGAACAAATTGAACAGGTGAAAGAGTTTGTGTATCTGGGTTCAAAGTTTACAAGAGATGGAAAGTGTGAGAGTGATATCGAAAGAAGAGTGAATGCAGGAAACATGGTGAATGGAGCTTTGCACTCCTTTATGAGCAGTCGGAAGGTGTCTAACAAGGCTCGTTTGGCTGTGCATGAGGGGGTGTTGGTTCCGACACTCATGTACGGAAGTGAAACTTGGGTATGGCAGAAGAAACATGAAAGCAGAATAAATGCAGTTGAGATGAGAGCATTAAGAAGTATGATAGGAGTTAAACTGAGTGACAGGCTAAGAAATAGTGAGGTAAGGAAACGTTGTGGTCTGAAAGAAGATGTAGTGACAAAAATTGAGAAAGGTATGCTGAGATGGTTTGGCCATGTCGAGAGAATGAATGAAGAACGATTGACGAAAAAAGTGTATAAGGCGAGTGTGAATGAAAGTGTTGGAAGGGGTAGACCTAGGCGGACATTTCTAGACCAAATCAGGGACGTCTTGAAAAAAGGCCAGGTCAAGAGTACCCTAAACCGTAGAGCATGTATGAAGGGAAAAATGAAAGTGGACGAAGCAAAACAAGTATGTAAGGATCGTAGCAAGTGGAAAGAACTGGTCTCTGCCTACCCCTACGGGAAAGAGGCGTGATTATATGTATGTAATAATTAAAATATTGATTAATGAATCTTTCTTTTATTTATGTAATGTTTATTATATTAAAAGATTATTTTGACATGTAATACGATCACCGGAGTTTCACCGATTAATCTGCGATTGTTTCAATTGAGTACTTTTACCGGTAAATCACCGGTGATTCTCCGGTACACAATGCTCCGGTGCAAACCACTAATTGTCATTTAAGGAATGACATAATTATTGTACTGACATTTGACATTGACATTTGATTTTTTTGACAATTTGGTTGAATTTTTCTTTGTGTTTTTATTTAGTGCCAATGCTATGTATGGAGTGTATTTTCATGAATTGTATAAACAGTCATAATGAATGTAGTGAGTGCTAACTAACATAGCTTTAACAAATAGATATTTATCGTTATAATTCTGCATCATTAAAGATAACTTTTATTTGAAATTTTCAGTCAAAACGTACTGCCATGACAAACGAAGAAGTTTTTATTTTACTAGACTTAGTAGAAGCTAATCCAATAATTACTAGCAAAAGCATTACCGCATCAACCAACAAGCTCAAAGAAGAAGCTTGGACCAACTTAACCAAATCATTTAATGCATCAATTTCCAGTACTCCAAGAAGTACAGATCAACTTCGATTCAAATGGGACAACTTGAAAAAAATGGCACGTAAAAGATCACCGGATTTCATGTTAAGTAACCTCAAGGTAAGGAGAGTTTGACTTATATTTGGGCATTTTTCAAAAAAATTGTCGGTGACGTAATTAGAATTCCACTTATATGAGTTTTAACATTTAGCTTCAAAATGTAATTAAAATGATAAAATATAGTATGAGCAGTATGAAAATAGTATTTTTTTTAAGAAAATAATAATGAATTTTGAAAATAATTACAATTTTAATTAAATTATGTTCTCAAGTAAGTCCATTACGTTACTAATTTTAAAATAGTTTTCATGAAAACTAAAAGAAGTTCAGTATTTTTAACTTTATTTATGAAAAATAAACACAATCAGTCTTCTAAAAAATATTAATAATTCAGCATATTAGATCTAATCAAAAAATGTTTTAACAAAGATATTCCTTACGCTACTTTTGGGTACTTTGTACTATATTTTTTTCATCCTAGAACGTCAAATATGAGAAATATTCTTTCAAAAGTTTAATTATAACAAATTAAAAATTAATAATAAACAATATTGAACAAAAACAGTCAAATTTCTTTGAGATCTATTAATTAGTCTTAGAAAACAAAATCACACTAATAATAGGACAGTGACGTTAATGGAATTCGAAAATGACGTTTAGGAACTATAAGGCAACGTCTATATGACTCTGAATTATGACAACAATCATGGTAACTTGTACTTATCGTATTAAACATAATATTACTAGTATGTCATTTAAGAGCATTTACAACGTACGGCATTTCATACAAACTTTCAAGTCCTTGTTTTCGAAATGCATGAACCGATTTTAATGAAACTTCATACGCATAAGCAGGACACATAGTTCTAAAAAGTTAGTAAAGAACATTTTCGAAATGTCTTATTTAAAACAAGATAATTGGAAATATCTGTTTCTATGGAAAATTTAAAATCGGTCGAATTTAGCTGTAACATTATTTTTCGAAAATGTTCCTATATATCGGACCTATATATCCTGCTTATGCGTAGGAAGTTTCATTAAAATCGGTTCATTTATTTCGAAAAATAAGGACTTGAAAGTTTGTATGAAATGCTGTACGTTGTAAACGGTCTTAAACTGTAACAAAAAAGAGTAACAAAAAAGTAATAAAGTAAGTAACTTAAACAACACTTAAAAAAACAATACGAAAAAACACATTTGAGATCAATCAACACTATTCATCAGTCCCAAGACAAATCGAACAAACATAGTCAAAAAAGGTTGTTCCGCTACATATCAGGCAAACCCAATTTTTACATGCATTACATTTTACCATTCTTTGTATAACAAAAGGCTAATGCTCCTTGTAAATAGAGCACAAAAAAGTCCTTGATGACTTAAATTCTTTTCCGTTATGTTTGTTTTCGTTCGATATATTTATTTTTCTCTTCTTAGAGGGCTGACATCCAAGAGATGCAAGATTCTCTTTGAGCTGTTTATTTTGGGTATTACCAAGAACGTGATCTGAAGCTGTCATGCATGAACTTTCCAGGATTGGAATTATGCTATCAGATTTAGGTTCGACTAATCTCTGATTATCGGTCAAAGAAGTTATCTCTATGAGTGGTCCAGAAATATAGCTGTCTTCTAGGGAATAAATTGGAGTTTCATCCATTTGACCCACATGGAAATCAAAATTTATGTCTTCTTCATTATCACTTTGGTATGTTTCTAAATCTTGGAGCATGTGATCAGGAATAACCTCAATAGGAGAACTGCTTATCTGTCGGGTATTTTCTGGAAATTCATAATCAATTGCCGTATTCATTTTGTGGGGCACAATGCTTAGTCTCGAATAACAAGGAGTAACGTTCATGTTGTCTTTTGACGTCCCAGGAACTATTAAGGCCTCAACACTCAATTCGGCAGTTTCTTTTGATGGTTTAACAAAATTATGTATTTTGGGATAATAGCAACTGCACAAACCACGATATTCCCCACAAAAACAACTCAGTTGCCGATATTTAATCTGGTTACATTGTGTAGATGATATTTGATGCAATTGCATTGTACCAGGAACAGCTTCAATGCCGTTGGGAATAAGTTGGTTCATGTTTTCAATATCTTGATTACTTATGTAAAAGGACATTACTGTCTTCATGCTGTTCTCTAAAATTTGAAATGCTTCAGTGGCGTTAGTAACATCATGACCATAAGAAATCCTTTTATCCAATTGTCTCTTAACGGCACCCGCAATCCCATCTGCCATACTTTTGCCATGACCTGCCTCCGAAAATGACCATGTTGAATATGATAGTTTCAATTTTGGGGTGAATAAACTCAAAAGATAAAAGTTCTTTTTTTGACGGTACTGGCTGCATGGGCCGTCTGAAAAAAAGTGTATAACTTTGATATGAGGGTTCATTTCTTTTGCAAGTTTGATAACTGGTATCAAGTGTGCCCAGATGGCATTCGGCTCATGGCAATTGTTATCTGAAGCAGATACAAATGATTGCGATAGATTTTTCCAAAAAATTACACCACAATGTAAAGTGATCGTGTTTTTGGAGGCACCAAAGTGCATTGATTGGACTTCTTCACTATATTTACATTCAAAATTCTCCGAAAAGTCACATAAAATGAGTATCTCGTCATCTTTCATGTTCTTGATACAATTTCTGTATTGACGTTGTTGTTCAATCCAATTATAGAAATGAGTTTTAAACGCCGGTTGCTCGTTCTGAAAGTTGGTGATGATATCAAGTACAGTTCCTTTTACTTGTTGTTTGGTGGTCTTTTTAGTTGTATATATTTTGCCAGATTTTTCATATTCATGGTTTACCCTAGCCCATTTGAACCATGATATAGCAGAATCGAGTTTTTGTTCATCATATGAAATACTCTTACAATCTTTACATTTATTGTACATGCAGTCGTAACGCGTAATATCACATGCAACGATGTTCAAGAGCTCCTTTATATTCTTGTAAGTTATGACACCTATACATTTCAGTGCATTAAACATGTACTCAAAGTTACTGTGCTTAATACATAAGCAGGTTTCTCTATTATTGATACTTGGAGACAGTACATAATAAGGCTTGTATCTGTAAAAGGTGGTGAAGCCGCATGACCCACCGTCTTTTTTATAAATTTCGTATACGTTTTTCAGTGTGTCGACTAAGTATCTTATTTGTGCTTTTTGTTTGTCTTTGGACCTGGTTTCCTTCTTACCAGCTGTGCTTTTACTTATGTCGTTTCTCAAATAAAAAAGTTCTATTTCTTCATGAGTCTTCTTATGTATTGGTCGTTGTACATTAATCCTTTTCCTGATTCTTCCTTTAAGACCTAAAATCTTACTTTCAGGTGCTTTTTCCAATATTTGTGCCTGTTTCCTAATCACGTTTTTAAGTAATTGTTTTTCTTTATTTTTCTTACAATTCCTGTACGTACTACGAATTGATATTTCCATTATTTCTTGTCTTGCTTTCAATTTATCGTTTTCTGTGTTCAATAAATCAAATTCGGTTTCATGTTTTTTTTTCATTCGGTATAATTTCTTTCTCAGAATCTGTATTGTTGTATTATATTGACGAATCATCTTTAAAGCCTTTTTATAGTTATTTAACAATTTTCGGTACCTAATTTTCAATGAATGTGAAGCTAAAGTATTGGATGCGTCACGTGATTGCCCTGATTGTGGATTCGGTTGAGTGTTTTTGTTTTTTTTTTGTTTTCGTTTTTGTTCTCTCCAGTGTTTTCTTTTTTCTATTTTCTCGTCCTCAGTGAGCTCTTTAATCTTCTTCTGGTGTTTTTTTTGTCTTCGTAATTCCTTCTTCTTAAATTCTTCATATTTTTCCGGGTTTTGTTTGATTTTTTCTCGGTACCGTTTTGACTTTTCTGCAGCCGTCAAGGGCATATTTAAGCCTAAAACAATAGTGAGTTATCATAATGTACCCCGTACGAAAAATCTCAAGTTTTTGTGAAAAAATTTATATAGATTTACAAAAAGCGTTGCGTGAAATAATTGTCAAAATAAATGTGATAACTGTTTATCACATATATTTTGACGATAAATTCACGCAAAAAACAAAAAGATTTTCATTCAGCATACCATTAAAATTGAACACTAAATGCAGCCATTTCAACAATATAACGTAATAACTATCGTTATTTCACTGTTATTTTTCTAATGTTATCCTGAATGGAGTGTTTTGAGCCGAAATACCTACTCGAAAAATCTTGTTTGATTTACACACGAAATTAAGTAATAAGCAATTCATTTAAAAAATTCGAGGCATTTCATAGTTATTTTATTCATACTTATTTATTTAGACTTTAGAACACTAATTAAAACGATGACTTTATGAACCGACCTTTAGGATTCCATTACGAGTGACCTTTAGGAGTCACTTTTGAGTTCCATTCATGCGATAGTAGCGTTAATGGAGGTACCGTAAACATACCAATAAAATTTTCAAATGAATTTACTAATTAGTTATCAAACTTTTGTTCAATATAACTTAACATTTCAAATAACAATAAATTAACATGTTTAATAGAAAATAGAATGAAATACACATGAATACGTTACCTGGAGAAAAGCAGTATCGTTTGTGGAAATATTTTTTTTCACATGAGACAACCACTTCGAGTAGAGTACGTTTTGTTGGCGAACTGGCAGTCAAAAATTAAATATGGCAGCCACCATAGACTAATAATGTTGCTATATTTGGGAAAATGTATTGAATTGGTAGTATTTTTTGTTGGAAGTCGTTGAAAATGCGGTCACGTACGCGGAAATTCCATCATACGCTATTTTGCAGGACAACCCAAAATCTGGTATTTTAAAATAATTTTCAACCGTAACATTTACATTTTAAGGTTTAAAATTGAAGTTACGGTCATAAATGACCAGTCAAATGCAAAACGTTTGAATAATAATATAACACGACCATATTATGTGACTCTGAACTTGACACAGTAGATGTGGGACATAACAAAAACATCGACCTCATTTTACTTATTTTGATTTTATTTTTAATTTATAACAGATTCAGACCTTATGTTACCAGACTATATGTTCCAGACTATATGTTACTTTATTGTTAAAATAAATGATATGTAATAAAAACTTTTATAAAATTTGATAATTTATTCTGAAAGTGGTCGGACACTGACTTTTTTCAAGGTACAACTTTTTTGGAAAACGCCCATTTACTGAATGGATAGAATGAAACTACAGTTGTACAATTGCCTGCCAAGTAAGGAAACTATTGCATATATCCCCTGTGAGAGAGGTGAGGCCTATGTGCAGCAGTGGATTTTGATGGTCTGTATAGGTAGCGGCTTTAAGGATTATTGAACAACCCATTCCATATTAGTTGTCAGTGTTGACAATACACAAATCTATGGTCTTTATAAGTAGTTATACATGTCCATGGATTGAAGCATCAATTCTTTTTATATAAACTATAAGTAACACCACCCATGGGCACCTGCAAACAACTACAAACAATGACGGCAATATTTTTTTTATTGTCATCTCTGAGAATTAAGATGGAATGCTTTACAGCCTGTAATTGTACTGGCTCTCTTTACCCAGAACAAAACACAGTAGTTCCTACACTGCTATTTGGGGGTAGAAATAGGTAAGAGAGTTGTACCTACCAGAAGGATTTTTAGGAGAAAAAGGAATGCTACCTCTTTGTAAACTTACTGTTACTCTGCTCCTCATTTGTTACTTATGATATAATAACAAAGTTGGTTTTGAATTTAGGTCATAAAATAAGCTGGTCTTATTTGTTCTTATTATGATATTGACTTAATACTTCACAGCTTGCTGGTGATAAAAAGAAGTTATCGACACAGGATGATATTCTTAACCGTGTCACATCTATCTTGGTAACGACTTGTGATGGTTTTACTGCGCAGTTTGGGGGTGACTCAGGTGATTGGTTTGTGATTGATTTATTTTTTATTTATTTTATTTTGAAGAATAAGTGTGACATTATATTTAATTAAGAATTGAAATTAAGATGAATTGTTACCCCTGAGGACTTAGATGGAATGCCTCGTATCCAATAGGGATATGAGGGTCACAATGACGGTCTCTTTATGTCCCATTTTGAACCACAATGATAAAATTTAAATTATCAGAAACTCTTAAAATGAATATTATGTACTAAGAGTTGTATCATTTTGACAGAATTTTTTTTTATCTTTTACTTGTCTGCATCTCAACTCACTACAGGTGTATAAGGCAGACTTCTGGCATTTGCTTTGGCCCAGCATTCTCACCAGTATCACTTGCAAGAGCATAGTATGGCATTGCATTACACACCAGCATATTGTTTGCACCAGCATCACTTGCACTTACACATAAAGCATGCATTCCCCACCGGCAATAACGACACACTGGCAATAGGACTGCACATTCTACCTCCGGTCTGAGGTGAGGTGATGAAATCATGCTATCAAAGTTCCAAAGTATTGTGGAATATATAGAATAGCTTTGAAGAACCACACGGAGCATTGGCCGCTACCCGGGCCGATCACCAAGTCCGGTGGGAGATCACCCATTTTCTTTCAGAGCAATAAACAACATTAGCTAAAGCATCTGCTACTGCAAGTCTACCTGATGATAAGTGGATTCAGTGGCCAATGGACACCGACATATACCCTTGATAATGAATCAAAATTTTTCGATTTTCAATTTGATTTGAATCGAGTGCATTATAATCGATTCTCGATTAAATTCAGCATTTTAATATCTATTTTTAATTATTTTTCTGTGTTAACCAGGGAGATAAAAAATGGGAACATATTATCTACAAAATAATATGAAAAATAATAAAGTATCAACATGCCAACAAATAACAGTAACAACAATAATTCAAGTAATCAATCTCAGATAGTGGTAGAGCCATGCTGCATCTATATTATGGTTGTAGCACGAATGGGTCGGCTCGACCGGGGAAGGACCACGCTCTCACAGAATACCAGCGTAAAATAGCAGCTTAACGCTGCTGTTTCGTATGGTGAGTGTAGAGAACCGTAGACCCTTTTTACTGGAAACAAGGCATTCCATCTTAGTCGTCACGGGTGACAACGCATCTGCATTTTGATTCGCAAACGAGGATAGATGTAGATGTTAACGGGCCGCAGCAACCATTTACCATCAGGTGGACTGTGTGCTCGTTTGTCACCCTTATCCTATAAAAAAAAAAAGATATGCCTAATATTCATTTCAATTTGTTGTTGTTGTTTTAATTTTTATCGCTTAATCGCTTCACTATTTTTTATCATAAATAACCACAGCTTTTCTTTGGTGATTTTATACTGATCGTGCTGTATTTATATCTTTAAGTAATTATAGTGAAAAATAACCTGTAACTGTGTTAGTACAGTGAAAAATCACCTGTTACAATGTAGGTAATATATAAAATCACTTTTATTTATTCTACAACAACTCAGCTCCTAGATTGTCAAATCTAGCCAGATTTTCAGTTATGAATTGTTTATATATAAGCTTTCAAACGGTCCGACTTTCATCTTGTTAACATCTGGGCCCAAGAATGTATGGAGAAGTCTCATTCTCCTTTAAAAATTTAAAAATAAGTTCTCCAGTTCTCTGCATTCACCATACAAGACACAGTAACAGTACACCGCTTTTACGCTGATGTTATGTGAGAGTGTGGTCTTTCTCAGGTTGAGCTGAGCCATTTGTGCAGAAGCATAAGATAGCTAGTGTGACTTTACCATTCTCTGATTGAGCCGACCCATTAGAGCAAACATAAAATTAAAGTTGTGGACAATTGTTCTAGGATATCCACAAAAACTATTACTTAAAAAAAATTAAGTATATATTATTATTTTTTGTTATCATATCCTGTATAAATCACTTCAATCAACACATGTTTAAACTGTTTGTTGTATTTACTGGTAAACTAGTGATGGTTCTTAATATTAGGGAAACATACTACATTTTGGCTCCAATATTTTTAAATTATATATTGTGAGTGCAGAAATCTTTAGAATTTTACTGAAACAATTCATTCCATCTTACTTCTCAGCGATGACAAGGCATCAGCAATTTGACTGTGTGTATGTGTGCAAAAAAAATATGATAATTAATAACTTTACCACCAAGGACACTCTTGGACTAGTGTTTATGATTCAATGTATGTTATGTTTTGCTATTCAAAACATAGCTCATTTAGTGCCCGCTATTCCTAGTAATAAAATTATTTTATTTTTGTTAATAAAGGATTAATGAATTTCTTTTTTTCTTATAGAACAGCATGACCCATTGAGGGGTAATCTAGAGCAATCTTTTGTAAGTTCTACGCCCACATCAGAGCAACAGCTAGATATTAACGAGGATCACACATTCTCTTTCCCAGTGATAGAGAATGATGTGGAAGCGGAAAGCTCAGGTGAGCAATAGTTGGTGGAGACAATTGATGACTTGACTATATGATATGGGTGCTGAACAGTTTCTGTAATTTGGGAAAATGCTTACGCATATCCGATTCGTGGGATATTGGCGGGGCCCACGGAAACGACTTCAGACACATTCGCGACCCCACCAGCCCCATGGCGTCACCTCTCGGGAGAAGACAGCTTCTCTCCCTCTTCATCTCTTCATGGCAAGACAAGCGTTCCTGCACGGACTATACTGCACCTACGTAACAACCGGATTTCTGGTTCTTGTCACTCGCCTTACGAAAAACAGCATTTTTCTGCTATTACACGTCGATATTCTGTTCGAGCGTGATTTTTCACCAGTCGAACACACCCATTCGCAGCCATAATATGAAACTGCATAGTTTATATATATATATATATATATATATATATATATATATATATATATACATTAAATGCCACCATTGAGCCGATTTCTGCAACTTATTAGCCACTGCTTGATTACAATCCTATTTGATGATTGTAACACGGATTGGTTCATCATTGGAACAGACACGTGGTGTGGCAGACAAAATAATATTCTTTTATACACTATATATAGATATAGTCACATCTAGCGCACGCAAGCGGAGCGTGTCCGCGCAGACGCGGGCCGGCACCGGCCAGCATTCTCAACAAGAATGTTTTATCTGTGCTGGTGCGTGTCTGCCGTTATTTAATACACATTTTGGTATGATATGTGTGATCGCAGGTACAGTGACAACCAAAAAAAAAAAGATTACGCATGGAAAGAAGTAGCAGAAAAACTTCGAGTTTCATGTAAGGAGGATTTTATTTATGAAAAAGGTTGTAAGCACGTGCACTTTATATTTTACCTGATGACGTCTGTTCATGCCGGTTGCGTGAGATGTGAAAACTGTTGTCTGTGCGGTGTCTGCCACGTTACTTGCTGATAGATCTTAACGAAGCTTAATTCGTAAGTCGAGGTACTGCATGGTCTCGTAGTGCCCACTGGATAGCGACTGACCCCATCCCCATAACGTCGCAAGCCATTCATCAATTAGTCAATTACGTAAAGATGATTTTGGCGAATTTTGACCCCCCTACTCCCATGTAAGGGTACCCCTTCCTCTTCTTACGTAATATTCTCGTTCGACCTCGTTTTCGCTCGATCTCGTTTTTCTGTATAAAATGTTGTTAGAAATTGCTCAGTAGCTAAAACTCACAGTTTGACGTAAATCAAAGATTTTTATTTTTTAACAGATAATTTAGGTTATACTCTTTTATTGACATCAGATATAGATTACCATTATATTATCTTTTTTTTTAAAAAAAAACGTCACCCCCACACTAGGATTTTCTCCTGTGTCGTGGAGGCAGTTTACAAACATAAATTGCACAAGGACAAACATCCAGACCCGGAACAATTATTTGTAGGTCATACAAACACTTGTTCCGTGCGGGATTCGAACCCGCGGCCCCCAGCGCAACAACTCATTGCTAAGCCACTGCGCCACGGAGCCGTCAATTAGACAAGTAGTTGAGATAGTATCTAGTGTAATATAGGTACATACATACATAAACACTCACGCCTATCACCCAGGGGGGTATACAGAGACTATGGACTTCCATTTGGCACGATCCTGACACACGCTCGTCGGTTAAAGGTACTCTTAATTTGGCCCACTTTCAATATATCGCCAATTTGGTCGATAAACTTTCGCCTAGAGCGTCCCTTCCCGACTCTGCCGTTCACCTCTGCAACATAAATTTTCTTTGTCACTCTTTCCTCATTCATTCTTTCTACATGACCAAACCACCGAAGCATTCCTTTCTTAATCCTGGTCACAACATCATCTTGTAAACCACACTTCTATCACACAATTTGTCAACCCGTCATTTAGATTCAGAACGGCTAGCATGGGCTGGTGACAAAAAATTTATCCCCTAATTATATCTACTGACAAGAGATAAAATTATCTTATCCTTATGCCAAAGCACGGCAATGGGGAGAAGTATATCCCCATTTGACATAAAGAGTAGACATATAGGTATCCCCCATCCGCAGCATGGAGCTAAATAAAAATTATGTTTTTTTGATATTTGAAAGGGACAATTTTATCCTAGTTCATTGGACGTGGGTTTGTTTTATCCATACAAAAAATCTAAGTCTAAGTCTATCTCCCATTTTATCTACTGTGGCTATTATATCCACCGGTGTGCCCATGCTCGAAGGGTGTATAAAACTAAGCGAGGGGATAAACATTTTCTCCTTTCCCTGGGGATAAAATAGTTTCCTGCCCATGCAAGCCCTGCTGCTTTAGATTTAGTGGAATATCATTATTATAATTAAAACTAACTTTTTAAATATAATCTTAAAGTGAACATACATAAATCAGTTTATCAACCTACACACGAATAATACTTATCAAATAATGATCGACTAGTTTTAAATTAATCTTAACGAAAATAAATAATTACACAGTAAAAGCGATATCAATTCAGATCATCAATCGTCTTCTGGACTGAATGGGTTAGTAAGCCATGTTGTCCAATCGGAACCAATTGGTAACTCATCAGATGCCACTGTAGTTGGAACTTCATTTGACACGTCTATTGGCACCTCATCTTTCTTTAGCCACTCTGCATCTTCGCCAACGGTAGGAGGATGGATTGTACGGCACAGCATATTTTTGTTAATTAAAATAAGATTAATACACGTAAAGAATGTACTATATTTATAAAAGTCACCATTAAAGAGCTACCTGCTAAAATGGCAGGTTAACTAGCAATTATTAAAAATTAATTTTTTTTATAAATCAATTATTATAAATCAAGAATGAAAAAGATAGACAGGCTGTGTTGAAAGAATTTAACGCAAATGTTTTGGATGTCGATCTAGTGCAAATGGTTTTATCAAACCCAAATCAAAAATCAAAGATGTCAAGAGGGTTATTCCGGCTTGCTTCTAGGACGGAATAATTATCTTATCTATCTATTATATGTTTCATTTTTGGGTTAGTAATTTAACTATAGTACTCTCAATTATACATTTTTATTTTGTTCTAGTGTTAGCAGTAATTAGTATAAGGTATGATGGGATTGGCATGTCATTTTGACAAAAATCCCAAAAAAATTATAGAAAAAAAAATTATAATTGGACCGTTTTGTGTGGAAATGATCAAACCCACAAACTGGTCAACATAATGACCCAAAAGTTAAGTATGAAAGACTTCTGGAAAAATATCAAGTAATTCCAAAATCTACATTAATAGGACTTCTGCCACAAGAAAAATGCATTTATCAAATCTGTATAATTCTGTTTTTATTGGTTGTATCATTTCTGCATTAACGTGATCTATCGCTAATTGTCAACAATCGCACTAAATTATAGAGCGGCGAACTTGTGATGAAGACCAGAGTGCTAAGACGTTCGTAACTCAAAACTCGAGGGCGGTCGCTCAAGTGCCACGCCAGCAGCCGCTGTTGCTGAACACGTCTACATTCGACGATGGCACAGGTACAAATGACTTACAAATACCCTCCCTCTCCCCTCCTTTTAGATTTTTTTCCTTGTAACACGTTCGATTTTATTATTACTATGTATGCTTAAAAGAATCAATCACCCAAACTCCTTCCGTGGATGTCGTAAGGGACGACTATATTATAAGAAATGCATAAAAGGATCTTATAACTTCCGATAGATAGCGGTATAAAAATTTCCTTACCGCCAGACGTTAACTATACGTGAAAGAGCCATGCTTCTGCTATATTATGGATGGAACACGAATGGGTTAACTCGACCGGGGTAGGACCACGCTCTCACAGGATACCAGTGTAAAACAGTAGCTAAATCCTGCTGTATTCAGTATGGTGAATGTAAGAGATCCGGAGGCCCTTTTTAATAGGATAGGGTTACAAACGAGCACACAGTCCCACTGATAGTAAATGGTTTCTCTGACACATAGACATCTACATCTATCCTCAATAAAGAATCAAAATTCAAATGCATTGTCACCCGTGAAGACTAAGGTGGAATGCCTCTTTTCCAGTAAAAAGAGTCTCAGGTTCTCTACAATCACCATACTAAACACAGCAGTGTTAAGTTGCTATTTTATGCTGGTATTCTGCGAGAGCGTGGCCCTTCCACGGTCAAGCCGACCCATTCATGTTTCAACTTTACTACTAATATAGCTGTAGCGTGGCTCTACTACGTATAGATCGTTTTACTGGAAACGACGCATTTCTAGCCGTCAGGGGTGACAACGCATCTGCATTTTGATTCTTCATTACGGATAGACAAAGATATCTATGGTTCACAGCATTCACTAACCATCAGGTGGACTGTGTGCGCGTTCGACACGCTTATTCTGTAAAAAAAACTTGAAATGATATACTGGCTCTATGCCGCTAAGCTTGCAAGGAATTAACTCCATGGCAGAAAAGGAGTGTAATAACCTACCTTTTATGTTTATAGTTGTATACCATTTTTCATCATAAATTAATATTCAACTTTAATAGTGAGAATACGACACAAGAAGAAGCTTTTGGAGGAGGACATCATAGCGCGCACAGCCAGAAATAACGCAATAGCCGAATACTACATAGCCAAAAGGAAAAAGTTGGAACAAGAAATCGATTCTGCGCACAGTATGGAGCAAGCAAATTTATTGATAGAAAATCAACGATTGAAATCGGAACTAGACAAACTTAAAAGTAGACTTGGCTCATGAATTAATTGATTTAAGAAAAACCATTTTATATGGTGGCGTAAGGCTTTGGCCACGTAATTAGCGACGTTCAAGCGATGGAGGTTGCGGGGAGGCGCGATGCGACAGCGACGTAAACAAAAGCATAATTTAATATAGCGACGCGCACGGAACGAACGAGAGCGGCGCGGAGCGATCGAGTCATGCATGGGTAGAGTTGTTCAAAACGGTTATAAATCAATATTATTTACATTGAAGTCGGTTGTACAAAATTGAGTCGCTGCATATTAAATTAACCTCTTATCTTAAAAATTCTCTATTTCAATATTATTGAACCCACACATAATATCCAGATGCCTATTAGTGACTCAGATTCTTTATAAAGTAGTCATATATTAGATTTAAATATATTATTATTGAAAGATAATGTGATATTAGATATATTTTTTTAAATAATAAGACTGACATATTTTTAAATATTACTTAAAACTACAATAAACTTCGTTGTAATATTAAGCTATTATTAAAGAAATAAAAAAGTGTAGGTAAGTAAAGTTGTTTTTTTTATTTTCATTAATATTATTGATTCAAGAATAGTCAATTGCGTTTTGGGTCCTAGATTTAAATACTGCCAAAGCTAATATTAGGAGTGGAACTAATAGAAAGAGTGGGTAGTTTACTAATAAGCGGTTATACTCTCTCACTCGTACAAGCAACATAAAGAACTGCATATACAACTAGCTTGGGTCATTGAACGAGTCTCAATTATTGTCGTCGTTCTGTCCGTAGTGGCCTAATACTTTTAGTACCTTCTTTGCTAGTACATAACCAGCAAAGAAAGTTACTTGCCGTGAGGCCGGCATATGTAACATCGTGATGAGCTATGTTGCTGCTGGCTTGCATACATCGTTTATTTTAGTATATATATATTGTATTTACTTCTAATGCGTTCTATGAATATTTTATAACGTAAAGTCTACTAAGTAGTGTTCATTTATTTAAATAGTTAAGAGTACCTTTTATCTAACACTATCTGTTACGGCCTACGGCTGCTCCCTTAAAGGTCAAATCCTCAGGGGCCCATTCAGCTGAGTTTCGACGAGCAGACGTAGGTCGGGCCTCCTCCAGGCCAAAGTGGAAAATGCAAAAAACCGTTAGCACCGCTGACAGACGACTCTGCGCTTGCGCGTCAGACCGGTATTGCACCGAGCCGCGCGCCCTCTGACGTCGATTCCGAAACCACCGTTCGAGCGTAAACACTATCGACACCACATTTGATCTTATAGCGTAAGCATTACAATCAAATTGGATAGTTGGAACGAACGAGAATATCTATTTGTGTGGCCTAGTCTCCAGAGAAAGTATTATTTTTTAATAATGCTTATTAAAATCGCCTATTAAAACTAATTGCTAAAAAAATAATGCTTGCTTTATGGCAGATAATTCACAAATTCTACCCTTTCAGAAAAGGGATGTCCACTCTTGAAAAATATTGTGCGAAATGAAAATATTAGATCTTTACCTATGAAATTGCCGTTTTTTATGAAATAAGTTAACGTAATTTTTTTTTCTATATTATTTCTATTAATTAAAGAAATCACCCGCACAATCGATGCATCTTTGCCAACGCAGTGGTAGTTTATTGAAACCAACAAATTCTTCAAAGTCATTTTGTACTGTCGGCGGCCCGTGTTTTTTTATTCTATCGGGTATTGTATTTTTTTTTCCCACGAAAAAGTTATTCAATTTCTGGAAAAAGTAGAAGTCTGTAGTCGCAAGGTCTGGTGAGTGCAGCGGATTACCAAAGCTGGTTGGAGAGGCGCCAGCTTCTCCATCATTGTTTTCAGTCCTTCACAATACACAGCTGCAGCAATGCTCTGGCCTTTTGGTAAGAAGCTGTGATGAATCACACTGGCACTAGACCACCAAACAGTGACCATCACTTTTCTAGCGGTAAGTTTTCGTTTAGGGCATTGTTTAGGTAGGCTGAACCAACTTGCTAAATTGCTGTGCGCTTGCGATTTTAAAACAGAATCAATTTTTCGTTGCAGGTAACAATGCGGTTGAAAATTTCCTTCGTTGTGTGCCTGTTGAAGCAGTAAAAGGCATGCCTAGACGTTTACTTCGCGGTGGCGGTCATTGAGTTCATAGGGCACCCATTTGTCAAGTTTTTTTACCTTGCCAATATCACACCAAATGGACCAATATCGTTTGATGCTAATGTCGAAAGCTGCTCCTAATTCAGCCATAGATCGATCATTGTCGACCAAAGTTTTCGGACGACCACGGGGCTAATTTTTCAGATTGAAATTTCCAGAACGGAAGTGAGCAAATCAATAACAGGTGGTACGTTTGTAGTATTTGCTCCGTAAACGTCGTTTATGTTGTGTACCGCTTGTGTCGCGTTGCTACCAAGACGGTCATATCCATAATTAGTCGATTTTTTAACGAATCCATGATGACGAAAAAGATTCAAATGTTATGAAAACATACACTAATCAATAAATAAATTACTAATTAAAAAAAAAGAATTGTTTTTAAAATAAAATTAGTTTGAAATTATAGTCTGAGAGCTGGCGACGAAATTTGGGAAGGTCACAAACTTACACGTTTATTACATTAGTAGGATTCAGGTCAATCATTACTTTTTTTTTTTGGAGTTTATGGCCTGGTATGGTACTCCTTCATAGTATACTGCTTCACAATATGTTGATGCGTCACATTGTGCAGTTCTTGGGAGATTTTGGCGGCAACTTGATCCAGCAGACAGCTGATAGTTGGCGATGGTATCTAAAGGTGCCTATGCAAACAAACAGCTTATCTTGAGAATCCATCACCATCAGAGCACTTGTTTCACTGTTTCCACTAATAGTTCACATGCGTAGACACTTAATACACAAAATCGCAACACTTTTACATATCAAAGTCCACTTCAAACCATTATTTAAACAATAATACAGGAGCAGCAAACCGCCGCCGGTCAATTTCCCGCCAAAACTCCCAACCATTTCTTTTTAAGAACATGGGGTGGTAATTATCAAACATATTTTTGTCAAGGTTGCTATTAATACGAGGTTAAAATTAATAACTATTATACAAATTATTACAGCACTGATTTAAAATCATTCAAATTATTTATACAGATATTTATATGGTCATATATGCGCATACATACATGCAAATCCCAAAACAAGAATTTAATCTTAAAATCTTTAAAAAAGATATTTCTTAGAAACCAATCACAGCGCAAGGAGCATAGGCCCCCATCCGATGTCTGCATGGTTCGATAAGCTATCTTTCTCGCACTTATGGCTACGCATAAGACTTTTTTGTCGTATTCATTTGTAAACTTTATTCACGTCTGGGAATTGTTTAAAACTGCTAAATTCGTCTGGCGATTCGCAGGTATTTAAAAAAAATACTGATTAAAAGAGCAATGGCAGAAAAATAGTTGACAAAAATTATAGCGTCTAGAAATAAGTTATATATAAAATGAGTTTTATTATTTTTCTATGATTTTTCAAATAAAAATGTATTTTAATTAAAGCCACAGAAAAAAACAAACATTTTTGGGAATATCAAATGACTGAAATCATTTTACTCTATTCAAATGTTGCCATTTAGTATATTCCTACTATTTTCGTATACACTTTGTAACACTACCAATACAACACACAAAATATTTTTATATTAAGTTATTATTAGTAATAACTGTACTAGCAGTAATAACAAAAATAAAAGTAATATGGCTGAGAATAAGTCTCTTACAAAGAATTTCCTACAATAATACATTATCTCAATCATAGTACTATGTAACAATTCCATTTAATGTTATGCCAACACTAGCTAAAATAAAATGTCACTGTTTTTTTTACTGGCTTTACGGCTCTGGGTTCTAGCCCTTCTGTGAATGTCACTATGGTACAAAAGCCCTGGAGCAATGCCAGAAATATACATTTATAGTATGCAAATATATAATAGAGATACAATAATCTAAAAACTCTCAATTATGTATTATGTATTAAGCTAACATCAAACAACCACAGGAAGCATGACTTTTTCCAAGTGACATAGGACATAACCTAAAAAGGTTCAAATGTAAATATCTTTTTTTTGACGCCTTCTCAGTACAAAATTCTTTGACAGAGTTATTAAGGGACTGACGCTTAACTTTGTAAGATATTTTTGGTATATAGACGCTACCATTTCTTCTCAACTAATTTTATGTATGAAAGTCTGCCATTGCTCTTTAACAAGCATTAACAATCAAACCCGACAATTATTTGAAGGCCTTAAGACTACAATTACTCGATCCTTGCGGGATTCTAACCCGCGCAACTTGGCGTTGCAACTGATTGCTAAGCCACTGCGCCACGGAGTCGTCCAAAATGTAGACAACCCTTTAAAATATTTGACCTTTGGTGTGGCTCGGGTTGGCTGGGATCTACCTCCGAGCGGTTCACCCCGGGCACACAGGACATAACCTAAAAAGGTTCAAATGTAAATATCTTTTTTTTGACGCCTTCTCAGTACAAAATTCTTTGACAGAGTTATTAAGGGACTGACGCTTAACATTTTAAGATATTTTTGGTATATAGACGCTACAATTTCTTCTCAACTAATTTTATGTATGAAAGTCTGCCATTGCTCTTTGAGATTGCCAAAAGTATATTTTTTGGGAACTTAAAAAAAATATTTTTGGAGAGGTCTGGTTATACTTTATAACCGACAAAAACGTCTGGCATTACCTTTGTAATCGACAAAAACGTCTGGAATTATTTTTTTGGAATTATATAAAAACTAAATTAAAAGATAAAAAAGAAATGAAGTTGCCAAAAAACATTTATTTGGAATTTTTTTTTTGCTAATGTTATATGCTGCGCAGTAACGAAATAACCGTAAACGCTCTGCCAGAATCGCGGGATTGGATTCGCCAATTAACGAAATTATATTTTTTCACAATTTCAACTTGCCCAAAGGACCTTCCCAAAATTCATCGCCAGCTCTCAGACTATTAGAATTCTTAGCCAGACAAAAATTATTTTGATTTGCAATGGCCAGTACTGCAGAACGGTAACCTATTAAAACTGTAAATTTTTGTACGTGGTAGAGCCATGCTGCAGCTATATTAGTAGTATAGTTGTAGCATGAATGGATCGGCCCGACCGGGGAAGGACCACGCTCTCACAGAATAGCAGCTTAACACTGCTGTATTTCGTATGGTGAGTGTAGAAAACCGGAGACCCTTTTTACTAGAAAAGAGGCATTCCATCTTAGTCCTAACGGGTGACAACGTATTTCCATTTTAATTCGCAAACGAGCATAGATATAAATGTCTATGGGCCACAGCAACCACTTACCATCAAGAGAACTGTGTGCTCGTTTGTCACGCTATCCTATAAAAAATTAAACAGGAAGTATGTAGCAGTATCTTCCTAAGAAAAACTCAAAATAATTAAAAATGCAGTTGCCCACTTGCTAAGAGGACTAAGGGAACTAAGGCAAATTTTTCCACTATGAGATAATCTATGGAAAAGGAAATCTATGTAAGGCTGTAATTGATAAATGAATGAATGATGGATAATATCTTGAGGGGGCAGATAAGAAAAGGGCTAATACGTTCGTAATCGATTTATTGGTAGAGTTGTGTTGAGGGGAAAAAAAGTAAGACAGACTGCAGTGTACTATTGTAGCAGTGCCTATTGTGTGTTGTCAAACCCGGGTTGCTCGCGTACTGTGAACTTTGCAGCGAGCGCTAACCATCTTAACTACCACGGCACATTATAGGGTTACCCAAATGGTTATTACCAACAGTCGATAAATTTTATTACTTTGAGACTTTGCAGGGCTTGAAAGCAAGAATAAATGCATATTTTTATAGCGTAGGGTGATAAACGAGCACACAGTCCACCTGATGGTGAGTGGATACTGTGGCCCATAGACATCTACATTTATCCTCAATTAAGACTCAAAATGCAAATACGTTATCACCCTTGAGGACTAAGATGGAACGCCTCGTTTCTAGTAATAATTCTCTACACTCACTATAATATGAAACATAACAGCTATTTTAAGTTGTTATTCTGTGAAAGCGTAATTGGGCCGACCCATTCGTGCTACAACTATAATATAACTGCAGCGTGGCTCTGCCACGTAAAATAATATAATGTTACACGTACGTATAACATTACATATAAACATATAAAAATATTGTATAAAACATATAGTAAAAGAATATTCAATAAACATATTTTGTTTAAAATTTAATATTATGACAAGAGGTAGTCTATTATTTGACTAATTTACTTATGTTTATTGAAATATTTTCTACCATAGTTAACATTTTTATCCCACGGCAATTGAGAAAAAGGTACAAACGGTCTATGTTCTAACTATCTCTCTTGTCTCGTTTTACCTCGATTACAATATCGTAATTAAAATGAATGTTAAATGCAAATGATTAGATTTATTTTCGCATGACATGTTTTTTGAATCCGATTTCGAGTACTCAGTCCTGTTTGTATAGTATGTCCATACTTGATACTGAGATAAATGAAGAAATGGCTTAAAAAACAAATATCCAAGACAAAAATCTTAATAAGAAAAGAGATTGTCACAGATCACCACAGATCACAGACTAATATGATGTGCAGCGTGCATAGACTTATCCTCTATCTACGGCAGCGTGACCAGATTCAGTATTTTAATACATTTTCATTATATTTTATCGATTTTTCCGAACATCAGTATTTTTGTAAGTATATTGCCGGAAGTCAGTATTTTTGGATAAGAAGTAAAAACTTAAATTTGTTTTATGGTAACACCGTAGCGATCGTCCTCGCGAACGTTGCAAATATTTTACAATGATTTACAATGATATGCAATGATTATATTTTACATCTAATATGTACTTGTCGATTTTGGGTTGCATCATAAAAATGAATAATATCTATGGCACAAACAACGTATTTACGTTAGACCTAAAGCCTAATGATAATTATTTACCATTTAAAGATATGTACTTGGGTATCCAAGAAGGCTAAGAATTAATCAAAGACAGGGGGAGTATAAACATGAAAGAACCAATTACTGAGTTTTTCAGAATGTGCCAATCATTTTTAATTGAGTTGATCACGCAATTGTAATCACGTATGCCTATTGAAAATGTAATTTTCCGAGAACTGAAATTTCTTGATGTTTAAGAAATATGAAACTTTCTCATATGATGTATCTACAACCAGAATTAATGCAGTTTCAGTATATATCTGTTATCGAAGTTTCATAAAATTTAACTTGGTCACACTTGGTGGTATTTTGTTATTGTCAAATGTGAATTTTAGCGGGAATTTGAACGGCGGCGGTTTGCTGCTCCTGTATTTTAGTTTAAATAATAGTTTGAAGTTTATTTTCATATATAAAAGTGGTGCGATTTTATGTATTAATTGTCTACGCATGTGAAATATTAGTGGAAACGGGAAAGCAAGTGCTGTGATGGCGATGGATTCTCAAGATAAACTG